AGTGCTTAATAGATGCTAGTAAAATTCCAATATTTTGAAGCTGTTTCCTTGTTTTAAATAATTTGTCTGCCTGGTCTCCCAATTTCTGTCCTGAGGTTTTAGGAAAGGTTCATACACAATTACATGTCTATGGTATGCACTGATTGACGGAATCTTGGTCGCTTTCTTGCCATGTGAATGAAAACTTGGGCCAGCTCTTCTATGCCTGTACCACCATGAATGCTGAACAGTAATTGCGAGGTACCATGATGAAATCAGGCGCTCGTCAAAATAAGGCTTTTTCCCATCAGTTGGGCAGTTTTTATATATTCATATTTTAAACTTTGTTTATTGGCTCAATCTTTTTTACGTCCTTTTGAAGCAACATTTTGTGTGGATTTTTGCCGAAAAACGTTGATTTAACGGTATACAAAATTGTAGTAAATTTTTAGTTTCCAAGTAGGCCTACTCTTTAGCTACGGAATTCACCAAACTTTGGCGGCCATTTACTCGATAATTTTACATCTAAAACCCCACGTTCTCCAATCGGAAATATCTCGACTTCTATTAAATAGATGGGTATTTTTTCCATTGAATGCAAGGGAAATGAACACGCTTTAAGATGACACCATTGCCTCCACAATCCCAAAAATTGACGAGCGCCTAGCTTCACCACATCGAGGCACAATTGTTAGTGATGTAAATAACAGAACTGTTCTGGGGAAGACTTGAGAATTTCATGGAAGATTAATGAACTAAATGATGCTATCATGTTGTTCTGAAAGAAGCCAGCAAGAAAGAAGACTGTCGTGAATCGAAAGTGGGAAGGGACAAATGCACTTCTGATGACTCTTGGGTAGACGTCATGGAGCCTTGGGCAATTTGTTGTCTGTGGAAGAATACAAGGCAAAAGAGACGGAGGCGGACCAAGAACAACTTACTTGTGTTCGTTTGAGTAAACAGAAGCACATCGACATGAAAACGGTCACTTAGTTCTGAAAAAGAAAAGTAAGAAAGAACTGAGAGAGAGACAGACAGATATGGAGAGAGAGAGAGAGAGAGAGAGAGAGAGAGAGAGAGAGAGAGAGAGAGAGAGAGAGAGAGAGAGAGAGAGAGAGAGAGAGACAGAGAGTGAGACAGAGAGAGAGACAGAAAGAGATAGAGACAGACAGACAGAAAGACAGAAAGAGAGAGAGTGAGAGAGAGTGAGTGAGTGAGAGAGCGTGAGAGAGAGAGTCAGAGAGAGAGAGAAAGAGAAAGAGAGAGAGAGAAAGATAAAAAGAGAGAGAAAGAAAGAGAGAGAGAGAGAGATAGAGAAAGAGAGAGAGAGAGGAGGGAGGGAGGGAGGAGGCAGGAACAATCTAGTGGGTGAAAAAAAGTAAGACCTACCACCGGTGTCGACCTCCAACCACCCACACTTAATTATAATATTGAAAGAGAACGTGGACAGCTTGGTGTGCGTGTTTCTGGGAGCAGGCACAGAAACAAGCGTGGAGCACCACGATCGCCGACGTCTGCCCTGACCTGACAGTTCTGACACTTGAGGGAGAAAACCAGGTCAACTGGCAGTGGGTCAAGATCTGGATCAGGGTCACTTGGTCATTCCCAGAGCTATATCTTCACCGTCTCAACTTGTTCTTATTAATATTTCATTTTCTCAAATTACTCTCACAACTGGATTTTCTTTAACTTCTACTACAGGAGCCAATTGCGTGGTAGGACCCATTATTGCGTGTCAGCTTGCCAATTGCGTGACAAATTTGATTGCACTATTTATTTTCGCACCAAAACTTTTACCGCTTTCCTCTCGAAAGTGCAAAGCGTCGCTGCTTTAAAATGATGTCATGTCAATGGGGTGTCACATTTTCTCCTTCTTTGCACCCCATAGTTAATAGGCCTACATGTAGTGATAATAGCTTAGATCTAAGTAAACTATTACCAAACGAGAACATATAATAAACGTATGGAAACAGAATGAAACGCAAATTGATATGGTCTCTTCTTGGGCCAGTTTCGTATTTGTGACATGGTTTACTTTATTCCAAACCCTCTCCCTGATTCAAAACACTTACTGAACATAATCGAACATTTTGAATGGGAATGGAAAAAAGATCAAAATTTGCAGGAAAAGACTCATTGCAATTCGAAATCACCTCCCAATTTTGTATCGTTGAACTGGGTTGGGGCTTTTAAGAAATCAAAACTCTGAATGATATGGATGCTTATCTTATCATAGTGCATTGTATAGTTAGAGCCACATCCATGATCTTGGTTCTCTCGGCTTTGTTCCTGCAGGATTAAGAACGCTCTTCAACACTTTTCTGAGATTCTGCAAGAGTTGCTTGAACTACAATATCGGAGCTTTCTCATTCTTCTGTCGTTGGTTGGCGGGTGCTCTGGTTTAGTTAGCTTCTCCTTTACTTTTACTATCAAACATCTATTGTCGTTATCTCTCCTCCTTCTTTTCTGAGTATGTTACTCCCAGGTAATACCTCTAATGTTCTGCACTTAAATATAACCTATTCTTCTTGCAGGTTCCGTACGTCCTCCATCTTGTCTTGTCAGGAAAGAATATTGCTTAATACTTCTGCGAACAAAGCATTCAGAACCAAAGTCAATGTCTAAACTTCAAATTCAGTTGTCAATAATGGCGCGCGGTCGTGCATCGCTATCCTTGGCAATCTCGGGAATGATATTGGCAAAGGTTAAGAAGTGTTTTCTTCAAAGTGACATACTTTACTTTACTTTACTTTTCCGATCCAGCGGCCATTTGGGTTCTAGCCCTTCGGTCTGTCGATATGGCAAAGAATTGACAGGTTTTAATCAGCTGTGCTTTGTCGCTGTATAGAGTATTTCCGATGTCTGGGGAGGCAGGTAGGTAGGTGCTACGCAGGTCACAAAGTGCAGGGCAGTTAAAGAGGTGGTGTGGTACTGTTTCATCCTGGCAGTCGCACAACGGGCAGTCGGGTGGGGTATCCTTGCGGATCCTATTAAGGTAGGAATTTAGTGGTATGTGTTGTGTTCGCAGGCGAAATATTGTGACTTGTTCTCTTCTACTCAGGGAATTTATTGCATCTTTAGAGTTGGGGGCTGTCATGTGTGCAAATACAGTTCTTCCAGTTTTGCCCATTGCCCATCCATTCAGCCACTGTTCCCCGGTGTTGCATTTGATGATGTTCTTGGCTGTCTGTTGTGATACTGGGTTGTGTGGTTGTGTTTGTGATGCTCCCTTCTTGGCAAGGGTGTCTGCTCTGTCGTTTCCTGGGATGTTGCTGTGGCCAGGTATCCACTGTAGTGTCAGGTCGACGGCATAGGTCTGTAGGAAGGTGTTGATTGTTTGAGCCACAGATAGGCAGGCTGGGCTTTCGAAATTCATTCAAAGTGACATGAAACTGGCAATTGTGCTGCACGGTGCATGTCATTCAGCCTTTTATCGCGTATAGAAATTTGCCACGAAGTTGGCAACATGACACGTAATTGGCTCCCTGCTATGGAAATTTTGGCTCCTAGCCACGTAATTGGGTCCTACATTATATTCATCTGCTTAGTTTTAGTACAAAAAGGGGATGCAGTCCAAGCATGCACACACACACACACATAATAATAATAATAATAATAATAATTAGCATTTGTATAGCGCATATCCCCGCTCAACAGCTGGCTCTATGCGCTTTACACTATATTATTACCCCAGCAGACCATAAAACACTCCGAAACATTCTCAGCTTCCCGGGAAGCATACAGTGCAAGCAGCTGATTAAGTGCTCAAACACTAACAAACTGACAAGATCTTTCACTGTCTATAGCCGGGTACCCATTCCCACCTGGGTGAAGTGAGGACAATTTGTGTAAAGTGCCTTTCTCAAGGACACAATGTTGGGCCCCTGTCGGGATTCGAACCCACAACCTTACGGTTGCAAGTCCAAGAGCCTAACCACTAGGCCATCGACGCCACAGGGACACACATTTCTAGTTTTTTCCAACACATAATATTACACAAAGAAACACCACACACATACATAAATAAACCTGACACAAACACCACATACACACACAAACATGCTACACACACAGACACAGAAACTCTTCAGCTTGAAACGAATTCGGTTTATTCCAAATATCAACTAGCACAAAATTATGAGTGTACAAAACGGCCTTCACTTACACGGAATTTACACCACAGAGATTACTAGCGTTGTTCTCAACAACAAAATCTTCATCATCGTCATCATTATTATTATCATCATCATCATCATCAGTACGATTTGTCTTATACATGTATTTATACCATGGTCTTTGTGTGTGAGCATGTGAACAAAAGAATTTCTGACTGTAAGTGTTTTGTGTGAGCATGTGCGTGTGTGTGTGTGTGTGTATGTGTGTGTGTGTGTGTGGGGTAGAAAATGTGTGTGTGTGTATGCGTGCCAGTGTGTGCAAGTGTGTGTGTGTGTGTGTGTGTGTGTGTGTGTGTGTGTGTGTGTGTGTGTGTGTGTGTGTGTGTGTGTGTGTGTGTGTGTGTGTGCACGTAAGTGTGTATGTGTGTGTGTGTGAATCAACAGTGTCCTCAAGAAGAGTGTTGACAGACAAGGGGAAATAAATACAGAGTTACCTCCCAGCAAGAAGAACACCTGTGTAGTAAAAGGAAAAGTAGTTGAGAAAAACTAAAATGACAAGACCTATATATATAAAACATCTGTAAAAATATGTGCCCCCCTCCTTTCGCACACATTGTACATGTACAAAAATTTCTAAATGCAGAAATTACCGATCTATTATTTTCTCCTTTCAAACCAAAGACAAAAAAAAAAAGGAAAAAACGTACATCATTGAGTCCCACTTCAGTTGTGTCCTCAGTAAAGCATTAAAAAAAAAACCAACTGTCAAGACTCCTCACTCCTCTAGCATCAGCTCTTCATGTCTTAAAAAGTGCACACATAAAAAAAACACTCCAATAAACACACCCCCCCCCCCCCCCCCACACTCCAACAAAAGGTTTAGTTCCACTATGCACATAAACAAAATTTTTTTAATAACCCTAGCCAAATACAACAAATGAGTTGAAAAAAGCAATGATGTCTGTGCACACGGGAATATACAAAAAGAAAACAAATTTGTTTCTTGATTTCAGAGGCTCTTGTCAACTTGTACTGTGATCAATCTGTGATTAGTGTTAGGAACATCACCACATAGTCACACATACACCACCAGTTCAAAACTTCCATGTACCGGGTATATAGATTATTTTTTTTTAAACAACAACCAAACAACCAAACACACAACAAAATCTGGAAAAGAGCATCAGACGCATCATGATGAAATTTGATTAGTCACACCTAGCTACAAGAGTTTAAGAAAAAAAAAAAAAAAGAAGAGAAAAGTACTGTATCCATTAAAAAATAAAACATTCACACTTCTGCACATTTCAATATATTCTTACACAAAAATGTCGCGTGACAACAAAAAAAAAAGAATCTACCGATGAGTGGTGTTATGACTGCAGGGCACTGGGGGTGCGGGGGAGTGTGCGTCCAACCAATGCCAGCTAAAATGAAACACAGAAAAGATTTCTTTATCTTTCAATTAAAAAAAGACATGTTGCAACCTCATTCACAGACTGGCATATAAATATAATAATTATTACTTTAGTTATATATCTGGACAGGGTTGTGAGGGTGAGGGAAAACACGCAAAAGAATAAAAGAATTAGAAAGGAAAGAAAGAAATGATAATAAGAAGAGGAAGCAATGGTGGCGTGGCGGTGGTGGTGGTGGTGGTGGTGGTGGTGGTAGTTCCACATGCTAGGATATGAATGTTAGACAGACAGACAGTGTTACTGTAGTGAGTGACAGAGAGAGAGTGAGCGCAAGTATGAGTGTGTGTGTGTGTGTGTGTGTGTGAGCGTGTGTTTGTCAGTGTGAAGACCTGAGAAACTGCCCAATTCTCCGTTGTCTGCATCCAGCAAATTGTGAAGGACAGGCTGTAGAGAGAGGCTTACCACCATCTGCCTCGTCACTGCCAGTCTCGGGTATAGGCAAGAAGTTTGATACCTACGGTGGACATTGATACCTACAGTGGAAATTGATACCTACAGTAGTAGATGCAATAATGGGCAACCTCAGAGGTCAACAAGTCCCCTTTTCCTCCTCTCTGTTATCCAAATTAAAAAATCTTCCACCTTCTGAATTTGTGACACTCATAAGAATAAGTTAAAATAGTGCAAACAGGAGTGTCTGTTGCAGTGTGAAAGGCTGAAGGGGGAGGAAGAGGTGGAGGTGCAGGAGGAGGACTAAGAGGAGTGGAGGAAGAGAGAAGGAAGGGAAGAGGAAAGGCGGGAGACATTAATTCACAATGTTAGAGAGAATATTTTCACATCGCAGCCGGTCACCATCCTTGCTAGCTAACACTCACATGTACAAACACACACATACACACAAGCAAACACACACACGCGCGCGCGCGCACACACACACACACAATCTCGCCACACGGGTTAAGCCAGAGGCTGCGACTGAGGAACCCAGAGGACACGCCCGTAGACAGGTGGAGCCACACAGCGCCCGTCCACCCACGACCACTGTGGCAGGAGGGAACAGATGAGAGCACGTCTGTCTTGTCTCTTCACACAGCGCCGGCCACAACACGTACATCTACACTTTACTTCAGCCCTGTGGAGGGGAGGGGGGAGGAGAGCAAATAACGAAACGTTTCAGTAAAAAAACAACAAATCAAAGCCATGATAACTGTCCTTTACAGTCAACAAACAAATCAATACCATAACTGTCATTTAGCGCCAGGGGAAAGACAGTTTAGTTTGAGTTTTACAGCACTTGCGACACAAATAGGTCATATGAATGCCAAAGATTCAGAGGTGTTACTGGGAAGTAACATACAAAGAAAAGAATTTTGTTTGTTTGAGTAATGAGAAGCACATCGACTCAACAATTGTCATTTATTGAAGGGAAACAGCAAGACGGATAGACAGAAACAACAGAGAAAAAAATTACTAAAATTAGGACCTACCAGTCACGCCCTTCAGTTTTAGTTTTAGTAAGAGTTTTACGGCACTTGCAACACAATAAGGTCATATAAGTGCTAAAGAATAGAGGTGTTACAAGAGAGTAACAAACATAAAAAAGGAGGAGGATAGATGTTTGATAGGAAAAAAGGAGAAAAACACAACAGAGCACCCGCCAACCACCCAAGATAATTGATAGGAAAGAAGGAGCAAACCACACCAGAGCACCTGCCAACCACCCACAGTCATGCTCTCCAATCGATAGCTAAAATAAAACAATGAAAGAAAAGGAAGAAAACTATTTGATAGGACATAAGGAGAAAACCACAGCAGAGCATCCGCCAACACACACAAAATCAGACAAGACAGTAGAGGAAGAGAAAAGAAAAGAAGTAGGTCCTCCTACCGAAAGCACTCCAACCACATGAGCTCAATAAAAGACAGACTTTTGACAACGCACGGCTGCACAAAAAGGAAGAGGAGAAGGGACAACGACATAATATGATGTAAATCTTAGTCAAACTATATTGGGCTGCATGCAGTACAACAAGAAAATGACTCTATGGAAAACCATCTTCGAAAATAACATAAAACACTGGACTGTAAAAACAAGGCACATGATACTGACCACTTGGTCAGCTAGCTGTTAAACTGTGCTAAGCCAGAATTGTTTTATATTTTTAATTCGTGGAGTTTTTTTTTAATCCGCGGTATCGGTTGCATAAGCTCAAGAAATATTGTGTCAAAATTCCAATTTTAGATCTTGTTGCCCCTCACACAGTAAGCGAATCTGAATACTCAGTTCTTGAAATTTTTTAAAACTATCTCGAGATTTCAGAGCCACGAGTTTCAAAACAACACTATCAATTGATGAGGTAAAAATTATTTTGCAAGACAAAACACTATACCAATATTTTCGTGTTTCTTGTATTTCTCAAACCTTTGAGCCATGGCTTAAATTTTGCAATTTCTGGGACAATTTCTTTGCTTTTTTTTTTTTTTATTGCTTCAGAGCAATGTGGTATCATTTCTTAAAAAGAAACACTGAACAAAAATGTAATAATTTCTCTGCTGAGATGAGTCATGGGAATTTCTCCTGTCATATTTTGTTCTTATAAATTTATTCCTTTGAACCCTCCACCCTCATTAAGTTCCAGAACCAAATAAAAGTGTAATTCTATCCATAGAACAGCTAGTCGTGACGTGTCGGAGGAAAACGACAAAAAGTCGAGTTTCAACACAGTTAGCTCACAGCCAGAGCCCTGCGTCAGTTAGCAACCACCAAGAGAAGCTTTGGTTTAGTTATTTTGATAGACTTTTAGTTTAGTTTTAGTAGAGGTTTTACGACACTCGCAACTGCATAAGGTTATATGAGCGCCAGAAGAATAGAGGTGTTACAAGAGAGTAACAAACATAAAAAACAAGGAGGAGAGATAAGGACGACAGATGTTTGATAGGAAAGAAGAAGCAAACCACACCAGAGGACCCGCCAACCACCCACACGCCAGAAGATTAGAGGTGTTACAAGAGAGTAACAAACATAAAAAAAGAAGAAGGGGAGATAAGGACGATAGACCTTTGATACGAAAGAAGAAGCAAACCACACCAGAGCACCCGCCAACCATCCACTGATAGACTTTGTTGGATTTTTTTTCTAGTTTGAGTGGAAAGGAGAACGGAGAGTCACCATTCTCAGCATTGTGAAGAAAAAGAAAAACTCACACAAACCAGCACAGAATTAGATTAGCCTCTACTTTCCTGTCCACTGAGGGACTTAGTTCTAGTTTTTTTTAGTAAGAGTTTAGTTTTAGTTTTAGTAATAGAGGTTTTACGGCGCACGCAACAGCATAAGGTCATATGAGCACCAGAAGATTAGAGGTGTTACAAGACAGTAACAAACATAAAAGAGGAGAAGGGGAGATAAGGACGATAGATGTTTGATAGGAAAGAAGCAAACCAAACCAGAGCACCCGCCAACCACCCACAGTAAGAGTTTTACGGCACTTGGAACACCAAAGGTCATATAAGTGCCTAAACCTAGAGGAGTCACTAGAGATTAACATAGATTAGGAGGAGGAAAGACAAGGAGCAAACCACACTAGAGCACGCATCAGCCACCCACTCTGAGAAGACACACAGGAATAAACAGAAGGTTCTACCTAAACCAACCGTCGACTACCACCTAATGTTAGGCACAAGGCCTTCAACTAAGGCGCACACGCACACGCGCACACTCACACGCACACACACACACAAACAAAACACAGAGAATCGGGGACTATTGCCATTACTAGATATCATTGCTGTCCTTATCATTGTCATTAGCACAGAAATTTGACTAGAAACGACACACAAAATGTTCAACTTTTCTGAGTGAGGTGGGGGGGGGAGAGACAGAGAGAGAGAGACAGAGAGAGAAAGAGAGACAGAGAGAGAGAGAGAGAGAGAGAGAGAGAGAGAGAGAGAGAGAGAGAGAGAGAGAGAGAGAGAGAGAGGGAGAGAGAGAGAGAGAGGGAGGGAGAGAGAGAGAGAGAGAGTGTGAGGGGGGGGGGGACTTTTATTCAACGTTTCTGTCCTTACTATTACTAAGAGGCTGTTAAGTTTCGTTTTAGTATCAGTTTTACGGCACTTGCAACACAAATAGGTCATATAACTCAACTGCCAAAGATTAGAGGTGATACATAGAATAACATACAAAGATAAGAAAGAAAGATAAAGACGACAGATGTTTGATATGAAAGAAGGAACAAACCACACCAAAGTGCCCACCAACCACCCACCTCGACCCTAAAGGCTGAGAAAGGGACTCAAAGAAAACTTGAACCCAAAATGTGGAAAAGTTTTAAAAGCCAGTTTATAATTACCTTATTCTTCTTCTTCTTCATCTTCTAAACATCCATTACACAAGGTCTCTCCATTCTGCGGACCCATGCACTTTTTTCAGAAAATCCATACAGCAATCTCCCTATGAAAGTAAGCTATATAGATATCATCCCCTTATCTTCACCATCACCATTTTGGCATGGAAGCCTCTTTGTGTTCTTAAACCATTACCAAGGTCAGTCTGTTGTTCTTCAACCAAAATAAGGAGTCAGCCTGCACTATAAATAGATAAAAGAAACAGTGTGCTAACATTTCGCTACCTAAGAATTACAAAGTTCTGTCTGACATTTCTGACTGTTTTGAGTTACTTAGACCATGACGTCAGAAACCAAATGTTCGATCTGGTCTACCAAAACGTAAGATATTTCTGAGTCGTCATCAAGATATATATTCAAAGAACTGCATTAACAAAAAGCTTGATAAATAAGAATATCAACGCAATGAGTATGAGATGACTGCGTCCCTTCCTCCCTTTGCAAAGGTCCATTTAAACGCACACTCCGTATAAACCCAATCTAATGTGCCCTCTAGAGCACCATGCGTTTAGGCGTCGACTACTGTACTTCCTTTCCACATTTCACTACCCTAATATTAGTCAGTAAGTGTATGAGCTTAGCACCCCTATCAACACTATTGGCTTATTTAAGGGGCCAGACCTCTGGATAAAAGATGATGTCAGCTTTTCCTGTACAAACCCAGCCCATCCTTTTCACAGTTAGACAACTGAAGCCCACTGGTACATTACAAATTCTCCTAACACATATCTCCCTCACCTGATAAAAGAAAAAGAAAAATATATATATAAATATAAATGAAATGAAACAATAACTGGAAATTTTGTTATTTCTCTGGCGATTAAAGAAAAACAAATGTGTGGAAATTTCTAGAAAAGTTCAGTAGTTTTGGGAATCCCGTGACAAAGGTTACACTTACACACACCCACCACACTCCAAGCAAACATTAAAGCACACACGCACACAAACACACCAAGAAACACACACAGTGAAAAAGTCACGTCCACCACAGCCTTAGCTTAGCCGAGTTAAAAGATTAAAGGAGTGAGGGGTGTGGGGGGGGTGTGGAGTGGTTGCGAAGAGAAATGAGAAGAGTTAAGTTGGTTGGTTGGTTTTACCCCTAGCTCTACATCAGAGAGTTGGCAGTTAGCACACAGCGATCTGAAAATCAGGGTAACACATGAACATAAATTTATATATACCCCACTGTGCTTATATGAATTGATATCTATCTATCCCACAACGCTCAAACTGACATCACACACTGCTAGAGTGTCTACTGTATGTGGAGGAGGTGTGGAGGAAGAGGATATGGAGGAAGAGGATATGGAGGAAGAGGATATGGAGGAAGAGGAGATGGGGAAAGAGGAAGGTACTCGACTGCTCAGAATGTATGATTGGTCATTATACATTTGCCATTTTAAAGGTTAAATGCCCCTTTCAAAACTGCAAGGGTACCTTTTCAAGAAGCGAAACCTCTGAAATCCTACTAGGGGTGGAAGAGGGATGATTCAATAAAAAGTCTCTCAAACATGCACGACCCAAAGCAAATTACTTCATAACAAAGCAGAAATGAAGACCACAAGGGGAGGGAAAAAGGCAGTCAGCATTCACAGACAGACAGACAGACAGACAAAACAAATTTGTTGAGGGTAACTGTCCTTTCTTTGCGAGGTCATACAGACGAACAGGGCCCTAATTGTCTTAGTTTTTAAAAAAGTTTTAGTAGAGGTTTTACAGCGCTCGCAACTGCATAAGGTTAAATGAGCGCCAGAAGATTAAAGGTGTTTCAAGAGAGTAACAAACATAAAAAAGAAGGAGGGGAGATAAGGACGATAGACGTCTGATAGGAAATAAGCAAACCACACCAGAGCACCCGCCAACCACCCACGAATTTGATGTTAAAAAAGTTCAGTTTCACAACATGTCAAGCTTTTCAATGCAATTCTTTGAATATTCTGATAACGACTCCTAATAATCTTGCGACTTTCATAGAGCAGAAAGAACATTTGGTTTTTGACTTCATCGTCTTTGTACTTTGTTACTCAAAACGACCAAAAGTCGGAATGAACTTTGCAATTCTACGGTAGCATAGTGTTGGGAGCCTGTCAGGTCAGTTTTGAAATGTTTGTGTGAATGTGTGTCCAAGTGTAGCAATGTAAAATGGTGTCATAGTAGTTGTTGTCGGTAGTGAGGTTGTTTAAGTGTTGGTGGTGGTGAGGTGTGGATGTTGTGGGTGGTAGAGGGGTATGGTTGTTGGTGGTGGTGAGGTGTGGTTGTTGTGGGTGGTAGAGGGGTATGGTTGTTGGTGGTGGTGAGGTGGTTATTGTGGGTGGTAGAGGGGTATGGTTGTTGGTGGTAGTGGTGAGGTGTGGTTGTTGTGGGTGGTAGAGGGGTATGGTTGTTGGTGGTGGTGAAGTATTCTGTTGTTGTTGGTAGCAGTGAGGTGTGGTCGATGTTGTTGGTGGTGGTGGTGGTGGTGGTAAAGCCCGTCTCCCGTCTTTGGGGTCAGAGACCCGAACAGCCGCTACCCTCTGACCCACTGACCAGCGAGAGCTTCCGAGGCGTAGAACTGGACATCCATGTCGCTGTCGGACTGCAGTTTCACCAACAAGGGCCGCACAGAGCTCTGGATGGAGCTGGAGACAGAGAGAGATGACCACAAACCATTACAATCACACGACTCTTTTTGTTTAATAAAACTTTTACGGCACTCGCAACATAATAAGGCCATATAAGTGACAAAGATTAGAGGCCTT